ACTGGACACCAGAGTCCAAGGAACAAGACATTCAAAAAGACCATTGTAGGTCTGAGAAACGAATGCACCAGTCAGTATGGATGGTGATAGGGTACAAAACCCGAAAAGCTCATTTGTGGGGAAAAGATGAAAAATAAAGAACTCTCAGAGCATCCTGAGCAGACGCTGTCTCAGGCCAGCCCTCTGTGAGCCGCTGGCATCTGCACAGAGAAGAAACACTGTAGAAGGGCGGCTGGGTGGAAAAGAGAAACCCTCCATCCCAGGCTGAATAGCTCAGCAGAGATCGGACAAACAGGAGAAAGAGACATTTTGAACAGGAGCACAAGATGTGGAGCAAAACTGAGTGTTCCCAGGCCGAGGGAGGATCCTGCCCTGAGAAAGGCTTGGCTAGGGTGGGAGGAGGCAGAGAGTTTTAGCATGCCAGGAACAGGAGGGAAACAGACAAGCGAAAAAGAGCAGAGGCTGCACTGCCAACTATGGGTCACCAGTAGAATGTAGGGTGCCAAGAAGCAGGCACGTGGTTTGATATGGGGCCCCAGTTTCCATGAGTGAGGCAGAGAAGATCCAAAGCCTATAATCTCTAGCATCCCAGAGGACTGGCTGAGAGGCACAGGCTGATTTTGCGATCAGTCGAGCACAAATCAGGGGCCAGGGCTCCTGGAGACCGAGAGAAGAGTAGTCACCCAGTAATAAGGTTTTTTTGTTTTATTTTCACTGGGCCAAAAAGGTGAGATACCACAGTCTCGATATGAGTCCTAACTCATGGGAACATCGGCAGAGGTAGAGAGAAAGGGATGAGCTTACTAGATTTGGCAGTGGTGGACAGAAGAATCCAGAGATCCTTAGTTGGAAAAGTGGCCAGGTTAAAGGTTACAGGGTCCGGGCATATCTCAGACTGCCACGGGCAGGAGGAAATGCCAGGTAAACTTGCTGGGTCACGTGCATCAATGTTATAATAAAGTGTGAGGGGGGCCTTAGCAGATTCCATGGCAGGTGAGGGTGACCAAGGCCGAAGGACAAACATGCCAGGCAGACAGGGCTTAAGTAAGAAGTTTTATTAAAAAGGGGAGGGTACTGCCTGAGTGCATTCTGGCAGGTGATAGGGGCAGACCCCTTTAGAGGGCAAAAGACCCTTTCACAGAGATCAAAATAGTAGATATCATACACATCAGATATGTACAGTATGACTCATGACAGTAGCAAAACTGCAGTTATGAAATAGAATGAAATAAATTTATGGTTGGGGTGGGGTTACCACTACATGAGGAACCATATTAAAGGGTCACAGGTTAAAAGGTTGAGAACAACTGATTTAGGGTAACCTACAAATATTTAACCAAACTGAGAACAGCCATAACAGCAATCATTAAAACCAAAAGCAAATCATTGCTCTGTGTGGAGAAGCACTAAGTCCTGGCCAGGAAGACAGGGCTACAGTTTTACAGATGCAGACACTTCTCATACTAAGAGGCTTAGAGCTGCCAAGCCAGACACCGGGCCAAGGGCTTTACATGGATGCGCCCATCCATTTTCATAACTGGGCTCGGTACTATTTTAGAGACATTAAATAACCTGATTGAAGTTACACTGCTAATTCCTGAGCCGCTAAACTAGAATCTGAACCTAAACAGCCAGTGATCTCAATCTACTGAATATACAGCTATGCTGATTCTCACTGCTCAATAGCCCGCCTCAGGGTGATAGGTAAGCCTCCCAGAGAAAAATCACAGAAAGTCTGTGACAGCACCAGGATTCTACATGGGTCTAAACCCAAAGCTATGCTGTCTCTCCCCATCTCTTCTTCATCCTCCCGTCTCTTCATTTACGATTCGCTAGGTCCACGCTGTGTCAGGTATGGTGGTAAGTAGTAAGTACAGTAATATCACGATGCATTAAGGGCTGGCTACTCAGTTTGGCTTCCAAAGAGCAGTAGGAGCATCTCTTCTCTAGCTTGCTAGAAATCTAAACTCAGGACCCACTCTGGACTTCCTTAAGGAGAACCTGCACTTTAACCAGCTCCTCGGGAAAGGTTTTCTGTACCCCAATATTAAGTCTCTAAGCCGAGGCAGTAAATCAGATCAGACTGAATTAATAAGATCTGGTTTAATCCGAACAAAGCAACTTCTGAGTGATGGGGGGAGGGGCATGTGGCAGGTCTGAGGACCAGCTCTTAAATGCCCCGTAGGCATGGTTTTGAGCAACTGGAGGAGGAGTGGACGGGGTGGCAGGGTTTGGAGAGGGGAGGGCGGTGAGGTGGAGTTTCAAACCAAACACTCAGTGTTACACACATAGATGAAAATGTCTCTGGTAAAGGTCTAATTGGCGATTTAGAAGCTTAAGCTCTTCACTATCAGGCAAAACTTAGGGCATAAAAGAGCTAACTGGCCTAGAATAATAACAAGCATTGTTTGAATGCGATTAATTAAACCTCAGAAATGATTGTTATTGTATCCAGGTAAGTTTCCAGACAATGCTATGAACTAGGTGACATGTCAGCCAAGATCAGTATCAACCATCTTTAGTGTTTTCTTTAGTTCCCTACAAAGAGACACTGACTGGGAGAAGCTCAGAGCTTGGGGGACTTTGTTCTCTTAGACTGATATAATTGGCCCCACCTTCCCACAAAGTGAGCTAGCTGCAGGAAGTTCAAAGGGTAGGCTGTCAAAGAGCTGGGACCAAAGACAGACTGGAATGCACCAAGGAAGAAATGCAGGTCACTCAATGGGGCCGTCAATAAAATTGGCTGCTTTTTTTTTTTTTTAATGTTTGTTTGCTTTTATTTGCTTCATGCTGCCATATGTTGAATTGTCAGAGTCAGAAATGAAGGGCTGGGGCTCTAGCTCAGTGGTCAGGCTCTTGCCTGGCATACACAAAGTCCTGAGTTCAATTCTTAGTACCGCTAAAACAAACAACAACAACAGAGCCAGAAATGAAGCAAGACTTCTGAATTATGTCAGTAAAGAGAATGAAATAAAATGAGGTTAAAACAAAACAAAAATATCAACAACAAATGCAAGGCACTGAGTTTGAGAGGGTGGGACAAAAATTCCATAAAACATCAGCCACAGCTCTCCTGCACCAGATGTGGGCTAGCCACCGTCACCATCTGTGGGGGAAGTGAGCTCACCCCACAGGAGGCCCAAGTCTTGGCGAGCAATGGGTGTTCCTTCCACCTACTGCAAGTGACAATCACCTAAAAACCCAATGAGTGGTTAGAGAATGCCCAAGAGCACAGTGCACAAACGACATGTCACTAACAGAGCCCAGACTTCTAACCAAAGGCCCAGAGGGACAGAGAAGAGAGACAGATTTAGACCAGTCAAGATGGTCCCTTGATTCACAGATTTTCTTACTTTAGGATGTTTGCTTTGAGCTATGGCCTAAGGATCCACAGGAGATATGCAAAACACTTAGACTCAAGAAATGGATGCAAGCTCTGTGAGTTCAAGGCCAGCCTGGTTTACATAGAAAGTTCCAGGTCTACATCTAGACCCTGTTTCAAAAAATCAAAATAATAGCAATAATAACAGCAACAATAATAGTAATAATAATAGTCATATTAAGGCAGTTATGAGGCCAGAGAGATGCTCTGTGGCTAACAATACTTGCTGCTCTTCTGCAGTAGTACCCAAGTTCAATTCCCAGCTCCCATGCTAGGAGGCCCACAACTGCAGGTAACTCCAGCTACAGGAAATGACACCCTCTTCTGGTCTCCACAGGTAACTGCACTCATATGCACACACTCCTACATACACATTCTCATATACATAATTAAAGACTATTAAAGACCACTCAAAAAGGTAGAAGAAGTAAGTAAATTTGATTTCAATATGAAGAGATGCCACTTAACACTGTAAACAGACTTGGCCAGTAATGAGGAAGTGTCTGTACGGGAGGCTTAACCATCACTACAGGAAGGAAAGGGAACAGTGTAAATAATGACAGCCTTGAGTTGGGCTTTCCATGGCACGCTACATCAGAATGTCCTGCCGACTGTTAGAAATGACTTTTACAAAGATGCCTGCTTGTGCCTATGCTGTCCCTTCCATCCCTGTGCCCTTGCAGCCTTCACAAAGTACACCACTGATGGTGTTCTAATAAACAGTTCTGAAGGACTGGTGAGATGGCCCACGGGTAAAAGGCATGTGCCACATTTGGAAAGAGGGGACCAACTCCCGCAGGTTGTTCATTCTTACCATGACGTCACACACATCCAAAACTTTTTTAAAGGAGTACCACTCTCCTCCAGCATTTTAGGAGATTGTGCCCCTAACTCCTGTAGAAGGGAGGCTTCCTGCTAAGGATCAATAAAAACCATATAAAAAGTCACTATGACCCAAGATGATCTCAAGTCATTTAAAATAAAATAAAAATAAAATTGGTTCTTCCCTGGTAATTTAACAGTCTTAGACTCAGGAATGGGAAGGACCCGAACCAGCCAGCCCTCTCCCCTCCCTCTATATTCTTACTTTCTCTCTCATGGACTATTTCTCTTCCACAGTCTTTCACAGAGCCATCTGGACCTACTGATGGCTATTATTATTTAAAATCCATAGTTCAAATGCTGTTCATGATGATGATCCCCTTGTAGATTTTACTCATTTGTATGAAGACCACACAAAGGCAACTTGGATAGTTTCTTGATTAAAATGTATAGCAATGGTTATGGCACATTTGGATATGAGATGTGATGAAATTCTATAGCTTGTCTAATTCACAGGCATAGAGTTTTGAGAAATCTGGGCTGGTTGGGGTCCAATGTATTTATACATTTTTATTAGACTCAATGGAAAAATTTGAAAAGATGAATAAATTACTTTCCTATTCCCCTCATCTGATATTCCAGACTATGTCCAACAGATGTCACATAAGAAATTCAAATTGCATCTTCAAATGAAGCATAACTTTAGTAAATGAATAATTCATGAGAAGAACTGAAAACCAGAACAATTTTCTAAAGCCATTGCTTCACAGAGTGACACTTGTGGAAAAATACTCACCTATTTATCTGGCCATTCTCTACTTCAGTGAAGTCATTAGACTCGTTGCTGATGTTGTCATCTTCGGGCACCGTCATGTTCTGCAACTCCGTTAACTCGAGGCCACTTTTGAAATGCATCATATTCAGGCGTCTGCAGTCAAAAAGTCAGTCCAAACTTCTTCCGCGATTAGTGTCCTTAGAAGTAGACAACAGCAAGTATGGATTCTTGAGACCCCTAAAACAAAGCAAAATTAAAGGATCCTTAAATTGATGAAAGACAGCACTCAAATCATCACTAAAAGCAAACAAACAATAGCAAAAATGCCACCTTAAGATTTTGCTACCAGATGTACTAAAACAGGGTTACCTCTGAATCTTATGTCTTTTACACATCCCCCTCCATTTTCAACTATAAAGCAAGTCACGTCCCAGGATCTTCAGCTCTCATTTAAAGAAACCTCATGTTAGTGACAGGAAACATACACTCTTTTATGAACCCGGGCTTAAAAATGAGAGCGTAAGGCCAGCAAGTTGAGGCACTTGCTGCCACCAAGCCTAAGGATCCAAGTTCAATTCTCATAACCCACACAGTAAGATGAAAGAATCAACCTGGCAATAGCTTTGACTTCCCAATGTGTGCTGTGGCACACACGTGCCCCAACCATAAATAAACAAATGACTTAAAATGTGACAAATCAGCCATCGAAGGAAAGTGATTTCAGTGATCTTCATGTGCTTGCTCGCAGGGCACAGAGGTCTGGACTGCAGGCACATGCGCCTTCATCCCGTGAGGCAATCCCAGATGAGTAAGAATGCAAATCATTAAGTGGCATCCCCGGGGATCAGTCTACATCCTGGACGAATTTTATTTTGGAATTTAGCAAATAGTTTATACGTCAACAGCAAGAGATTAAATCAATCTCTTCAATGAAATCACTCCATGTTGGGGAATTAGGGAATTAAAAACTGAGTCAGAGGATTTTGGTTAATCCACCTGCTACACCATTTTCTCGTCAGACATTAAAGACAACCAGAGATGGGCGGCTGTGGCATCAATTTCTAAGGCACCACTGACAGAACGAATGGGAGAGAGTTTGGGGACACTGCAGCAGAAGCCAAAAGGATGGCCACAAAGGCAAATGGAACTTCAAGTGCTACGCCAAACAGGGGTGGAGGCACAGGCCTGCCGGAGTGACAATCTACACTTATGTAGCAGGACTCTGCTTCACAAAGAGGAGGAGAGGAGAAGTCCTGTGCGCATGGCTGCCTCATTAGGTTATTCAAGTGTCACTTCAAGGACATCTTGGAATGTCGTAGCATGTCAAAAGGACATGCCCCTAGAATGTAGTGCTAGAGCAATGGTTCTCAACCTTCCAAACACTGTGATCCTTTTACACAGTTCTTCATGTTGTGGGGACCCTCAACCATTAAACTGTGTCCTCAACACTTTATAACTGCAATTTTGCTACTATTATGAATCGTAATAAAAATATCTGACAGGTAGGAGGATATCCCATATCTGACCCCTGTGAAAGGGTTGTTCAACAGCCCCCCCAAAAAAGTGGCTTAGATGAAGAGGAGTGAGGGAAAGTCAGTCTCCCCCAGGGACCAGTGTCCCGCTCCCAAAACATTATCCAACCCCAGTGGTCAACCATGAACACATATATATGAGCAGCACTAAATGGACACAGCAGGTTGTATTTACATTTGCACATATGTGTACAACAGTAATAATTAAAGAGGTCATAAATTTGAGGAGTAAGGGACATGGGAGGAGTGGCTGAAGGGGGAGAGGGTAGGAGAGATTATGTAAGTAACAATTATTCATGTATGAAACTCTAAAAAAATTAGATGAATGTAAAAAAAAATTGAAGTTTAAAGAAGTTACTACAAATAAACAAATTTTCTACGGACTACTTCCTTGAGAACATCTGATGTATTGTCTGACCCTGAATACCAAGAGGAACGTGACCTAGTTAAGTGAGATCTGATACTCCTATGCAGGCGTTCCGGAGGCACAGGCCAAGAAGCATTTTATCCACTGATCTCTAATGAACCCGCTGAAGTACCTAGAATAACACAATTTGAGGTGTAATCTCTTGGCACATGGAAACCACACGGTTGTCCTTTGCCTTCCAGGTCTCCCATGTAGAAGGCAATTCCTCTGGTGTCAGGTGTTTAAACTAAGCATAAGCAAACTGTAGTATCTCAGGTTCTGGGAGCCTCTCCCTTCTGCTGCACGGGCCTTCCACACCAGGCACCTCTGGGAAGTCAGAAAGCCAGGAAGGTGCAGCTGAGTCCAGCTCTGACTGCTTTGGGGTCTTCAGATAGCGGTATGGTCATCCCTGTCTTCTCTGGGCAAAACTGAGTGCATTCAAGAGGCTGAATCCACTCTCACCTCTGGGCCCCTTTAATGAAAACTGGCTACAAAGCAGGCTGGGTAATTTCTAAATTCGTGACATTCATTCTTGTTTCTAAAACTACATGATAGGCTACCGAAGTGAGGCTACACGCCAGAGAAAAGGGGATGGAATTTCTAATCTGCACTGAGAAGTTTTTCTTTCCAAACTAGAAGGTAGTGGGGTACCCGGCAGGGATTTTGTAAGAGCAGAAGTTAATCTTTTATATCTCTCAGTGTGTGCATGCACTTCCAAATTGCTGTTCATCACTGAAGGAAGTCAGGGCAGGAACACAAACAGGGCAGGAACCTGGAGGCAGGAGCTGATGCAGAGGCCACGGAGGAGTGCTGCTTACTGACTTGTTTCCCATGGCTTGCTCAGCCAGCCTGCTTTCTTACAGAGCCCAGGACCAGCCCAGGAATAACACCACCAACCATGGGATGGATCTCATGGAGACAGTTCCTCAACTGAGGCTCCTTCCTCTCTTAAGGAGGTTGTCGAGGATATAAAAGGAAGCCTAACAGGTTCTTGAAGATGAAAACTGGAGAAGGAATGGAAAAGCACAAAGTCCATCATGCCTCTCATCTCTCTTGGGCTTTACTTGGGAAATACCTGATGCTCAAATTATCAGTAATCGAGAATAAAGTGATGATAAAGTTTTAAAAACAGGATCTGGGACAAACAGTGTTATAGAAAAGTTAGTTGGACTGGACCATGAATCTTCCTTTTTTCCCCTGAGAGTAATATACACTTGATGTAGAGCCTCTAGAACAAACATAAAAGAAAGCCTGCCACCTAAAAATAGGCCACCGAAACTCGCTCATTTCCTCCTCCTCATTTTCATTCCTTTCTTTCTTGTCTCTTTTTCTACCTCTACCCCCACAACTTCCCCTTGATTTAACACTGAAGATTTTAGATTGTTTTTAACCTACTTTTTTCACGGAGCACCAGACTGTAAGGGTTCTGAAGGGCACAAGTGGTTTTGCTGAGCTGTTCGTTTCAGGGACATGGCTCAGGAGTAAATCACAAGAACCCAAATTCAAGCCCCCCAGTCCTCAGGGAAGAGCTGTGAACACTGGCTGTGTCTGTCGTCCCAGAGTTGGATCCCTGAAACTCAAACTGGGGGTGGGGGTTGAGGTGGGGGGGCTGACCTTTGATCTCCACATGCATTCGAGGGAGCATGAACACAGGAGCATCCACACTCCTGCACACACAGGAACATGGACACACATACACATAGAATATATGCATACATGCATATGCAGAAGAAAAGTCAGTCCCTTGATAATAAATAATAAAGGTTTTGTAAGAAATACGACGTTACAAAGGAAAGAAAACACATCTAACGGTGATCTGTTGTCTCGGCAAGCAGTTACGCTGCTGTCAGTAAGTCACTGTAGGTTGTCCAGTCTTTTGTGGAGATGCTGCCTCTCACAAGGGCACCCCCAGTAAACCTGTCAAATAAATGATGACTACAAATGAAAATGTACACAGTCAAGAAAATGAGATTCAGACAGTCCATTGAGAGATTTTCTTTCTTTCTATCTTTGTGTTTTGTTTTGTTTTTGGAAGCAGGGTTTCTCTGTGTAACAGTCCTGGCTGTCCTGGAACTTGCTCTGTAGACCAGGCTGGCCTCGAATTCACAGAGACCTGCCTGCCTCTGCCTCCCGAGTGCTGGAATTAAAGATGTGTGCCACCATCACCAGGAAGAGATTTTTTTTTTCCCCCTTCGAGAGTGTTTTCATTTTTTATTTTATTTTTTTAGTTTGCTTTGCTTTGAAACAGTCTCACATAGTCTAGGCTGTCTGAGGACACCCTTGAATTTCAGAATCCTTCTCCCTCTACTTTCCACTGCAGACATTACACTAGGGCCTCATCGTACTTGGCTCTGAATTTTTAAAAAATATATTCATTTTCATTTAAGGTGTAATTTTCTACCCTGAGTTCTGTCAACAAACACAAATCTACATGATCACTGCTAATGCCTGGTTAATGGCTTGATGCTCAGTGATACCCAAAGGTATGCAATGGTGCCCAATGGTACCCAACAGTATGAAATACCACCCAATGGTGCCCAATCTCTCACTAATGATGCTCAGATGCTTGATGGAGAGATTGACAGGTAGAGATGGGGCCAGAATTGAGACTTTTGGTAGAAGTAACACACTCAGTCAATAGAGATAAGAAGTACAGGTTGGATTTAAGAAAAAATAGCAATTATAGTTTCCCTGGATGATAAGAGCTACCAGCATTAAGGTAGTAGCACACGCATGTGATTTGAAATGTGGGGTACTAAAGCAAGGATAGTGAATGTGAGACCAGTCTGTGCTACCAGAGAGAGCCTTTGATTCAAAAGAAATGGGAAAAACAAAACAAACAAACAAAAAACAAAACAAAACAAAACAAAAAACCATCAGGATCTGGGGAGATGGTTCAGTCAATAAAGGACTTGCTGCATAAGCATGAGGACCCAAGTTCATGTCCCCATTGTCCAGGTGAAAGCCGGGCAGACTGCCTATTACCCCAATGCTGGGTTCAGGAGTTGAGGGAGAGGAAGGAAATTAATGTATCCTTGGGCTCACTGGCCAACCAGTCTAGTGGAAATAGTAAATTTGAGGTCCAATGAGATACCGTGTCTCAGAATATAAGAAGATGGCCCAAAGAGGGAAAGTAGGTCATGGGTAAGTAGGTCAAGGTGACACTCACCACCAAAGCCTAATGACCTGAGTTCAATGCCTGGGACCCTCATGGTGGAAGGAGACAGCCAATTCCCACAAGTTGTCTCTGAAGTCCACATGCTTGCTGTGGCATGTGTACACACACACACACACACACA